CTTCTGTTGAGAGCTCTGAGCACTTAAGAATCATCTCTCCTTCAGAGTGTCTTTCTGCCTCAACTTTTGAGCAGCAGAGGATGGCTGACCTGGTCATCCAAGAATGATCCCTGGAGAATCAAGAGTATGCCTCTTGTGGCAGCCAGAATACTGAAAACCAGCTCTAATGTCAAAGAAACTGCTGGCCCTCCTAGTGCTTAGGATGGACTGGGAAAGACAGACAGCACCAGTCTGCAGAGACAATCACTGAGCTACATGAGAGAACCACTTCCTGTGCATAATTGTTTTCCTTCCATTCTAGTGTCTACTTCTCCCAAGGACATTAACCCCATATAAGAAGGCTGTCCATATTATTTGTATCAGATAGTTAAAAATATTTCTCTCTTCCTCCTTTCTCCAGTGCCTGCTTTGCAGCAGAAAATTAAATGAGATAACAGAGGGCAGGAGGAGTGATAGAAAATACAGCTCCAGAGAGAACACATTTTAGGGAAAATGAGTGTGAAGAGGAGCAAAGCATAGTGAGAAACAGCCAGAAAGAAATGGAGAGGGAGAAAAACAGATGTGACAGAAGCCATAAAGATTTAGTGAATGAAGTCATTAACATTTGGTAAGTGTGTAATCACATACACACGTCCTTCTTGCCGAATAGTAAGGTACCTGTGGAAATGTGTAGGTCCTCCTTGACTCCTTGTGATATCAGCAAAGGTGATAGCAGTAAAAATGTAGAGTAAATTTTGCAATAGGGATGAATTCACACTCTACATGTGAAAAAATATATTGGTTTATAGATTTCTAGAGCTCCATTTAAAAATAAGTGGAGACAGTCTCTAGTACTTTATTAAGACAGTTTTTAGTCATCAGCTTGAAAATTAAATGAATGTGTAACGAATACATGATAATATGTACTATTTAATAAAGTTTCATCAATGTTTTTTAATGGCTATTGTTTTACCAATTTTAGTGTCAATACTCTTCAAAAGGTACGTTTTTATTAAGTTTCGGTAGTGTTCTGAAAAGGATTGACCTTCGTGGTGTCCTTCACCAGTAAGCTAGTTGGGATGGCAGCTTCCATGGATATTTAAGCTTTTAAATTTTAGGAAAAGATACAGACATTTTGAAAAGTTGTCATACTGAATTGGGTCAAGGTGTTTCTAACCTGGTGTTCTCTTTCCAGTGAATGCCCAGAGAGAAGTAAAATAATGCAGCTACAAGGTGATAGCTCCCAAAATATATTGACATCTTCATGATTTGTGACTTCAAGTTTCTTGAGCCTAGGGACATATCTGCCTGTGTTTTAAAAGGAAAAACAAAAAGCATCAGCACAGACTTTAATTACCTTATCCAGAAGGTATGCAGTACATCTGCTTTTGCAGTCCTCAGTTTAAAGACACTTTAATCACAGATATTGCCTATAACCCTAATCATGGCTGAGTTAGTGGCTTTTGAAATTATTTAGATGTATTTTCAAAAGTCCTAAGAAAAGTTTTTAATTGATAAAGTATGTGCAAAATTGCCAGAATGCTTGTTTTTTAATCCTCTCCTACTTACTTTTGCTATAAATGCAGAAATGCTGTAGAATTTATTTTCCAGTAAAGATAAAAGTAGAAGTTTAGGAAGAAAAATTGCTGACAACCCAAAGTTAAAACAGCAGTAACCAGGGATAGAGGAGAAGAGGAAGAAGTATTTGGGCAGACTCAGGAGAGAAATACTGTACTCTTCAGCAAGATTTCATTTTTGACACCAGTCTTTGGGTAGTGACTTGAGCTTTCCCAGCTCAAGTCGCTGGGAAGGTGGAGGAGTGTTTACCTCCTATTAGGGGCAGTGCGCTTGGATGTGGGGGTGTGGTATTTGTGTATGCACCCATATGTGGGCGAAATGGAAAAATGTGGCTTTATTTCCTCTTCCCATCTCCATTTAGGTAATACACTGATATAAATGTTTTGATCATAACATTGATGAAGTTTTAAGCTGCTTTACTCCTTCTTTTGGTTTGTGTGTTTTGTTGTTGATTTGGGTTTTTTTAAGGGAAAAATTTTAAAATAAAATGTATCTGCTGAATCACTCTGCTGCAGGAACAGAAGAAAACAGAAAACCTCTTCGGACTGCAGTGCTTCTGTGCAAAATGATATGCAGATTTTTCTGTAACAGATATGTTTAAAAGTCATTATGAAATGGCCCTTAAGGCGACTTCCATCTGATACAAGCCAGTGTTGGTGTAGGAGAGTGCTGTATAAAACAAGTACAAACCAAATTCTGAAAAGATCCAGGTCTAACTGGATTATTCAGTCCTTTTTCTGTGTCTGAGATTGATGATCCAAATCACCTAAAATGGTCAAAAGGTAGTTGGATTCAAGGTGTCCTGAACCAAGCCTGTGAAGGATTGGTTTTGCTGTCATCACTCTATGTGCATAATTAGCTATAAGCTTAATTATATGTGTTTGGAGTATGTTAATGTGCGAGTTACACATGGGCATTTGCAGCAGTTGTTTTTTTGCACTATACCTTCACTATTTACGCACAAGAGCCTTAGGTAGGATTCATGAGGTTTACGCAAGTAGGGAATGCTGATTCCTTGTTATTCCAGAGGAAGAGGAGCATTGAGAACTGTTAACATAACCTCTTCTGCAGAGATGGCAGAACTGCACCGTGTTTTCTGAGGTCTGGTCTGTGCCAGCCATCATTTGCACCAGCTCCCTCTGGCATGACTGGGCAAAGCCCAGTGTGTGCCTTGGTGCCTCATCCCAGTTGGAAAGCCTGGGGTGAAGCCAAGGAGGGCAGCAAGCTGTATGCCAGGGACTTGTGCAGTAGGGCCAGTACTGGCAAGAAGGAGAGTACAGGAATAGTGGATGGAAAATAAAAGGAGTGTCAGACACTTACACCAGGGCTGGTGGGAGGTACCAATGTTTGAATTGGCATCATGCCCTAATGTTAGCCAAAAGGTGCAGCACATTGTTAAATTGCTCAGTGGGAGTTCAGACACAAGCATTGTGCAGTCTAGGGAGTGCAGGATAAGCCAGACAAGTACAATAGAGAACTATGGGAGAGCTGTTCATAGGAGTGCTTTCTTTTATAAACTGTGTTTTTATCGGACAGCTTTTCAATTTCTCTTATCAAAGCTTGACTAAATGCTTCCCTCTTGAGAGTGCTTGAGGGAGTGAGACTGGGATTAATTCACTAGTGGTATCTTAGTCTCATTTTGGTTTGGGTAGCAGCTGCTGATCTGATAAAAGGACTCTGTGGAAAAAGTTGTTTTTCTTAAGTATGCTCTGGATGTATGATACATGCTTGAATTATTAATGGTGCTGCTTCCTATAACCTGTGAGAAGAAAACTGCTCACAGGAGTTTTTGTAAAGCTGTGCAAAGAGGTGGTCTAGGAGGATGAAGTCTGACAGCATCAGACAAATATTTATATCTCTCTAGCCAGACAATGTCCAGAGAGTATTTGCCTCCTAGTCAAATATTAGAATACCTTCATATAAAAAGACCCCAAACAATCAAATACCAAAATCCAACCTCAAGGAAGTATTTATCCTTAGCACCCTCTTCTGGGCAAGCTGACAGGTAAGAGTTCTTAAAATATTTTCTATTCTTTTAAATTACCTTGTCTCCCTAGTATCACTAATGTTCTGAGAAGCTTACAGTTTCTGGTTAAATAACAGGAGTTTACTGTGCATAAAATAAATTTTAAAACTTTTCTTGATGTGGTGGATGTATATTGTTTATTATTTTGTTTTGAATATTTTTCTTTATAATAGTTCATTTCATGCTAGACATTTTTCACATCTCCATGAAGGTGCTACACATGTAGCATTATACAGGCTTTTTAGCATAACTAATGAATGTAGTGGAGACTGAAATAAGCACTGCTTTAGAAACCCAAGCACCTGCAAAACAGCTGTCATTTAACAGAAACAATGTAGACATAATTTCCTTTTACTTTCTTGCTGCCATGGCAGCTTCCTAGTTGTCTGTCATTCTCTGTGTTTGGAATGCCAGTGGTGATGGAGCCACAGGAGAGAACAGCATAGAGCTGCTGGTTTCTCAGTCATAGCTGCAAAAGGTACTTTCCATAAGCAATCACTCAAGTGCCTCTTGACAATGAAGGGCAAGCTTTTCCCATGAAGCCATGGAAACTTGAACATGTGGACTTACTTTGCCAAGTGTGCACCTTTCTGATCTGCCAGCTTGGTTGCTATGTGGTGTCTTATTTGGGAGTGCCCTGTGGAGTGTGAGGTTGTGTCTAACAGGGACTTCTCATCTGCATCTGGCAAAGAGGGCCTTATGTGATCTTCTGTTTTGCTTCGTGCTAAGACTGAATTCTGCATCCCACATTCTGGTTAAGAGAAGTGTCCAAGAGAGAAGGTTTTTATTAAAAATAATATGTTTTCCCAGAAGCTTCTTAGTGAGAGCCAATTCTTTTGCATTCCTAGTAATTTACTTTTTCCTCCTTTTTCTTGGACTTGGTAATTCTGCAAAAAAAATCAGTGTCTCCAGGACTCATTGGAGCTATACAGCAATGATATTTCCTTCATGGAAATTTCACATTCCTACAGTTGGCAGTTTCATACTTTACACTGAGAAAAAGGTGGATGGGATGTAGAACATGCTAGTGTGGTGAGAAGTAGTGAAGGTGTGAAATTTGAGTTACCAGGAAGGCTGATGAAAGAAAGTCAGATGTATAGAATAGAGATGAGTAGGAGAGTAGAAAAATCAAATGACAAGCTAAGTGTTTAGAAGCTAGGAAAAAATTTTACCTAGTTATTTACCTACAGTCCTTGCCAGGGAAATCTTATATTCAGGCTTGAACTTAACTTCCACTTTGAAGACTGAGCATGGGTTCTCATCATGATTCTTCAGTCAGCTGGTGTGTCACTGATCCTTGCCTCTCTGCAGGACAAAAAATACCTTCTTCAATAGACATCCTTGATGTACTGAATAAAGAATGTTTTCCTTGTAGTAGTCTGATTCTTAACCATTTCACTTTGTGCTCTTTCCTCAGAGGATGTGCTGAGTAAAGACGCTGGGGAGTGTGCAATATGCCTGGAAGAGCTGCAGCAAGGAGATACTATAGCACGGCTGCCTTGCCTCTGCATATATCATAAAGGGCAAGTGTTCCTTAGGATGGATATAAAATTTCAGAAGGTTGCATTTATGGGGTAACTCTTCTTAAGGGATGTTTAAAGATGTGCTGAAACATAGTTGCTTTTTGCATTTAAAAATAACAAAGAAACAGCAATAGCAGCCTTAAAGATGTTTTTTAAATGACATCTTCCTGCATCTCTACCAAATATATCAGAGGTTAATTTTTCCTCCTACAAGCTTCTCATTCTTGGAATATCACCTGAATGAGGAAGGAATGTGTATTATGGCTGAGGAGCTTAGGTTGTGTGGGCTTAAGTTTTGTCAAATGCTAATAGAGTTGTGCAGGGAGAGAGGGAATGTTTTTTTAACCTGTTTCATATTTCTTTTTCATAAGTGTCTGTACTTCACAGAAAGTAAAATGTCAGTGAATGACATAAGCAAGATGATAATGTTAGTAGTGAATTAACCTGTGTATAAAATCTGTAATTTGTAAAATGCTTCCTTAGAAAATTTTAACACTTAAGAAATTTAGATTTTCAACAATGTTTAATACTCAAATATTACTGTGGTGTGGGGTTATTAATTTTTCCTGTGATGCGTGTATATCCATATACTTCTTTGTATAATATAAAATTATACTAGTCATTGAAATGAAGAAACCAATTTATATTTATATCCTACTGCTAATATTACTGGAATTCATGTCAATTATTCTCATATTTTGCCTTGTATCCAACAGCTGCATAGATGAATGGTTTGAAGTAAACAGATCTTGCCCTGAGCATCCATCAGATTAAGACAAGATTCATATTTTTAGGTAATGTTTATTTATGTTCCAACAATAAATAGCTTGATTACCTGAAGTAACTGTACTATTTATTTTTAGTTGTGAATTTACTACTGTGTCTCAGAACTATGATATTAATCAGTAAGGATTGATGTATATTGCAATATAGGCAGAAGGTTTCATCCTTACATGGCATGGCCTTTCCAGTTTTAGTACTGGAAAGTGGTAAGTCAGTGTCAAGAAACCTTTAGCATTAACTTTCTAAGAGTATTTTTCCATAGAAATGAAACAAAATTAAAATAATACAATTGTGTAATTTCGGATTGTTCTGTGAGTACTGGCATGTATTTCTGACAAGGCTTTTGGAATCATATGAAAAGGTTGAAGCTAGGTATTTTCAAAACTACCTTAATGTTAACGCATTCCAGAAGTTTAAAGCATATAAATAAATAAGAAATGTTGATGTGTTTTTATCCATCTTATCTCACAGAAGTTCACATTTTTCCAGTTTATGTTTTGTGTTAATGATTACAGATCTGCAATCTGTGTTAAAAGTTTAAAGGATAGTTTTATTATTTTGTTAACTAACTCAGAAACTTTGTCTTACATTAAACAATTGCCCCTAAGCATTGCAAAGCACACCAACAATCATAATTCTTAGAGAAATAGAGATATCTGAAATTCTGTCTGGTAGCGGAGTTTGGTTTTGTTCTGAGGGAATTTAAAAAAAATCTGAAGTATTCATGACTAGCATTTATTTGTGCATTTGTTTCATGTTGCTTCATGTGTATGTGCTGTAGGGGTAGCAAAGAAAACCTTAAGGAAGATATCCTGCTACTAAGATAATTGTTTTAATCTCAGGGCAGTGTTAGCCAAAATTAATAAACACATTTCCTGTATTGCCCTCAGTCTCTGGTTGTGGCAGAAGGCTGCATGCTGTTCATGAACACCTCTGTCTCTGTACATGCTCATGGCTGTCCAGCCTCATGTTAAATTCTATTTGCTTTTTCCACAGCAGGGATGTGATAACTGGGGGCTTAGAAAAAAGGGGAAGGAAAACTCAGTGGTTGTGCTCATGCTGTTTGAATGGTTTCTGTACTGAAGTAATGGTATTTTGTCCTCTGCTTTTCCAACAGCTGCTTCCACTGATCAGAAAACATAGGAGATGTAAGGTTCCCTTGCTGAACACAGCGTGCCTGGCTTGAGACTTAGTTCTTTGTGGCTGAAAAAGGCAAAGATGGACAGTGACATGGAGAAAACATTGCAGACACCGTTACTTGACAGTAGTGCTCAGTAAACCAAACACTCATGCAAAGGACACACAGGGATTTTGAAAATGCTGCACATCCTGTAACAATCGACTCCCCAGAGACATTACTGACACTGTTTTGTATCGAAGGCCAAAGTTCCAAATTTCAGCCTAACTTCTGGTTCTGTGAAGAAGCAAGTTATTGGACATGTTTCCTACTGCCTCCAGTGGAAGTGGAGACATTCAATACGTGCTATCTGAGACCCTTGCAGGGGGACGGCCCCAGATTGGAGTGGGAACGTTTTCACCTTCTCATTGGCTGAAGAACAGTAAATGGCAAACTAAATAAAATCTAACAGTGTGACCTTAATTCACTGAATTCACACCCTGTTTTACGTTCTTCACTTTTTTCAAGAACAGAAAACATAACCCGCTCTGTGTAGGAATACTGTATTTCAAAGTTTTGTAACTAAACCTTTGTCACAATGCAGTCCAAAGAATAAAACCAAGACAGGTAACTAATTTATATTGATCAAGCTATAGAGATTGTCGAAATCTGCACATTGTATTGCTATTTAAGTAACTAAAACATCTCTTTTACTGCTCATGCGTCAAAAGGACAGAAAGAAATGCAGCAAAGCAAAATCTTACAGCTATGCAACTTTTTTTTAAAATAGGAAAAAGAAAAGAATTACCAATTTTAAGTGCTGCCAGTTAAGGTAATTTGTTTAACGGGTATTTTTTTAAAGATGTTTCAGGTAATTATTTTATTGTACTACTCTCATCTCCAGGCTGCCTGCTGAGGTGTAAATGAATAACTGCAAGTGTGGGCACAGGGAGAGGTTTTTATAGACATGGGCAAGATAACATTGAGGTGGGATTTGTGTTTATTTTTCGAACATGTGCAAGTTCATGTTTCCTTGTTTGAATGTTTTTTTTTTTTGGTCGCAGGATCTGTAGTACATTGCATCTAAACCCTTGGTGTCTTTGTGTGGAGACCAGCATTTGACAGTGTGGGTTTTTGTTTAGTTCGGGTTTTTTCTTTCTTTCTTTTTAAATTCATCTACATTTGTTTAATTTAGTGTTATTTTACTGTATTATATTGGTATACCAGAGCTCCACAAAACACAGGATGTCTCTGGGTGGGTACACTGAGTAAAACTGTGGCTATGTATTAGTTCCCACAAAGTATCACAGTTAAAGTAAATATTTTTTTTAAAAAAAAGGCAATGAACTGGAAGAGATATCAGGGTTTAGAAGCATAATTTTTATATTGATAATTAATTGCAGTAGTTTCTGAATTTCACAACACAGGGAAGAGTTTATGAATATTTATTAGCAACAGTATTCTTAGTGAGTTTCAATAGTTAAAATAAGTTGCACAACACTTCAGACTTTTTCCTTGTACATAAATACTTCTGGTTGGATTTTTTTTTTTTGTTTGTTTTGTTTAAGTACACATTTCTCTATGTTGCTGCTGTGATTTATATCAAAAAGGGCAAAGAATAGGAGGAACTGCTGCTCTCTGGAGAAGAAGTGCAGTTCATGCTCCTAAACTCTCCAAATTTGCTTGAAGAGCAGTTCTTCCCTGGATAACATTTTCTCATGAATGTTGCTCTGTAAAATGCCTTTGTTATGCTGCAAATCTAAAGGAGTCCAAACTAGATAATTGTTGTAATTGCCAGTGCAGTTTCTATACTTTTGGGCTTGCATCACTGGTTTCAGCTGAACCTGTAAGCTATGGGGCCCTGTTGAGTTCTCTTTTTCAGTGGGAGCAGAATCATTTTGTCAAACATTCAATTCTGTAGTCACATCAAATGTACAGTCATTCCCTGTACAGAGTCCTTTTTCAATGAGAATATTTGTATTGCCTTGTATTATCTTGGGGGAGGGAGGGAGGGGATGAGGAATTACAGCAGCTGTGATACTCAAATAATGGTGTTGCCTGCAGGCCCATTTTCCCAATGTTTTAAACTCCTGATATCTTCTGAAAGTAAAACTTTTCCATTTGCATTGATTTAATGTTTACTGTTGGCTTAATGCCTGCAGAAACTCACCTGTAGTCATGTAAAGTGGGTAGGTCATTGTTTTGATGTCCTGTGCTCTGAGGTCATAGATAGTCTTTGGCTTGAGGGTTAAGTATGTGAATACAAGAAACATAAATCTGTGTACAACTTGAGCTCAGATTTGGTAGTTCATATTTCTAGTTCACATACAGTTTCCTCAAAACCCTTCATTTTCTGTATTCCAATGGAAGTAGCTGATTTAAAGACCCAGCAGTTAGGACTATTGTCCCATGTTTAGGAGCAGTGTTGGAAAAGCAGGTCACTAGCCATTGCACTGGTGATGCTTTTGCAGGCAAGAGTCCATCACTGCTTCCATCAGCACAGTAGAGCAGCAATTCCTTGGATTATTTGAGGAACTGATACAAGGTCACCTTTAGTTTGATGTTCTTGGTATCCATAAATTTCTTCTGAAAGACTGTAGGAGGTTTTCTTGTATTGAAACCTGTAACATGGACCAAGCCCAGAATGACCCTGAAAGCATGAGAGTGATGCTTGGGCTTGAAAATACCAGTGGAAACTCACCTAGGTAAGCTTTCTGTCACCATCAGCTGGCAATGACCATGCTGTAGGCACAGCTCTAGTCACAGACAACACCTTCATTTTGAAAATGTCTTCACAAGGGTGTTGACTCATTGTGCTTCAGAAGGGAAAAATAAACACCAAACAAGTCCTGTGTCTCAAACAACGAACACCACACTTGTCCACAAGGAGCAATAACTTCAATTTTGGTGCGATATGCTTCTTTGCCTGTAAATATCTCGAGATTGCCAATTCTGTGCTGTGTCAGAGTATTTTCTGTCATCTGGCCTATATCTTCCCTAAGTATGTAAGGGTGTGAAATAATTCCCATACTCAGGTCTGCCATAAACATGCTGTTTGCCAGCAGGGGAAGAGTAGATTTGACACTGTCTTGAAATGTGTGATTTTTCTGAATTTGTAACATGTCTCTTCAGTAGCAACTCGTGTTTTAAAGTTCATAGTGGAGGTGGCTGTGAGTTGGATTGTATATAACATACCCCATACAATAACAAGGTAGTCAAGACTGCTGTCAGCAAAGGGCACCCTTTGTCCTGGCTCTAACAAGTCAGTATATCTATAATAATGCTTCCCTTTGGAAGGAGGTAGCTCATTTTCTTTGTGTGTACATTCAGCAATGAATTGAGTGGGATGTAAAAGCAAAAATACAAAGCACACCACAAATTATTGGTATTTTATTTTTGGGAGAGATAAAGCCAAAAACAAAACTATCTGTAGTCAGGTTAGCTGTCATAATCAAGGGTAAGTGTACTGAGGTGTTTTGGAATGGAAAACATGTAGGCAATGTACGAAAATGTGGGTGGATACTTGTGACCTTGGTTTTTCCTTGCTCCCCCCCTTATGATGTAAAGGGGATTTATGACTGAATCTCAAGATTTATACATTTATTCCACTTCTTAATTTTAGGAGCACTGGGTTTTTAATTAAGCCCTGCTGAAAGGCTGGAGAGCTGGTAAAACAGTCAGACTCCCAGGAAACTGAAATCTCAGCAAATATGGGAAAGATAGTTTTTATTCAGAAACGTGGATTTGGTGTTTCTGGAGGGATATGTCTAATATGTGAGATGTACTTAAGAACACTTTTAGTGTGCTGCCTTTTCTGTGTGAGGGCTTTAGAAACTTGCTCCATTTCTTCCGTGTTCCACCAAAAGCCAGGAACTTGGAACTTGAATTTTACTATTCTCTCTTTGTAAATGGTGGCAAAACACATTGGTTTTGAGACAGGCAGTGATCTCTCTGAGTTTCTTGTGGCTTTTAGTCACTTTCCTGTATTCAAAAAGAGTATGCAAATTTGGTACTAATTCTGCTGTGCAGTTGAGATTTTCCTGCTGAGAGACTACCACACACCTGGGAGTGCAGGAGTGCTACTATGGGATCTTCCAGCTCGCCTTTGCTAGTGGAGGATTATCTCTTTTTTTGATGAGCGCTATATTTGATGATTCACTTTCCACCCTTCCAAGCTTAAAAGTCATTTTAGTATCAATTTCTTCTCTGCCTACCTGAAGACAAGATATATGTTAGGCTATATTCCCATATGAATAGGCTTTCCATTGGCATCAGCAAAAGTGATGTAAGAGGTTGTAAGAGAAGTCTTCTTATGGGTTTCCTACAATCCATACAAATGTGGTTCTTTTCATGCAGCTCCTACCATCTAACTTTTTGCCATTCAAAACACGCTGCGTGAGAAAGTCACAACAGAACTATGCCCAGGATTTGTTTCCTGAATGAAAAATCTGATGTTTCTGTATCTCCACATAAGTAATCTGCTTCTAAAATCAAGTTGGAGACGGTTTAGCCTCTTGGGGATTAAAAAAAACAAACCCAGTCCATACTCTCAAATTACATTTGGTTATCTTACTCCACAGTTATAGGCTGGCTTTCCAAGCTGCTTGTGTTCTGTAAAGTCACGTCTCAATTAGTACATCAGAGCTGATGATGGAATAAGCTATAAAATGAACTCACTGTGGGACATTATTAGTTGTTGAAGACTTGCTCAGGTAAACCACCATAGGAATATCCTGCACCTAAAAAAGGCTGGACTTGGTTCTATCTTGGATCTAATAAGTTGCCAGTGTACAAGAAGTAGAAGGCAGCCAGCCCACTCACTGATCTTTATGGCAGCTTTTAATCTATGCGTGTTTGTTTGAGAGACTTTTGCCCTTGGGTGTGCTTTGGCAAAGATTTTGCAACGAGAAATAAGATTTGCTCGATTTTGGCAGAGTTTCAAGTGTAAGTAACCCGACGTTGCAAGAACATAATCTGTTGCTGAATCCTGTTCCTCTCGTTTTCCCTCAAATCTGTCCCTTTTAATGCTGATATATGTCATAGTAAACACTTCTCAACACGACTGGTCACAAGCTCTCAAAGTGTGAAATTCTAAGAGGAAGAGACATCAAAGCTTGATTCTATACTCCTGTATATATTGAGATGAAGCTGGAATATTTGTTACCATACAGTGAAGACTTCTCCCCTAGCTGATATTGCCAAAGCACAATAACTTTGAAAGAAGAAGGGTGGTGGCTTAGCTGTAGAGGGGATGCTTTAGTGAACTACGCAAAAACTACTTGTAACAAATTTTAAAAGCTGCAGTGTGGCACTGAATGAGTGATCCAGTGTTAACCTTTATCCCTTGATTACAAAATCTCATTCTGGCTCTTCCCACCCTTTGGGTGATACCTGCTGGTAGGGAGCAGAGTGTGTACTCCTTTTTTTTTTTTTATATGCCTCTTCCTACAGAACTAACCTTGCCCACAGTGAGTTTAGAAGGAAGTCCATGCTAGCTTCTGAAATGCCACCTGTACATGCAGTGGTAATGGACGAGACACCTTCCTTCATTACCCGGAGCAGAAATCGGAATGTAATTTGCAATATCTAATGTAAATGTAAAATATATTTGTTTGTTTTGTTGTTTTGGTTTTTTTTGTTTTTTTTTTTTTTGATTGCAAGTTGACTTAAGTTGTTCTAAGGTACTCTTTTCAGTGGTTTGCCAGTACATAATCATGAATGAAAATATTTTTTTATTGATTTTTAGGTTGTATGTTTAACATTCCATTCATGTAAAATATGTACAAATATATGTAATAAATCTTTTGAAGCACAGTTTTCCTCACACTTCCAGGGGATGTTTTTTTTTAAGTATTGGTGAAAGAGGCATTGCTGTGGGATAGAACTTCTGTATGTCTGTGCTGTAGTCTGAGCTGGAGCAGAGGAAGCAGTGCATGGTTTAGAGTCACAGCCAGTAAAGCAGTGGCATTTCACCTGTCTGCAGTCCTGCAGGTGGGAGTGCAACCCTCTGGGCCAGCCTCTGGCCCCTCTGAGTCCCTCTCAGTCTTCACCTGTCCCACAAGCAGTGATGTGACAGGCTGGTATCCCTCTGGCCAGGGGAGATCTCAGCAGACGAGGTACCTGCTCTTTTGTGGGGGTGGCTAGAGGTTGGAGATGAGATGTCTGTGGTTAATGCATCCTCTGCAGATCTTCAGCAGACATGATGACCTTCAAGGTTAGCATAAGTTAGAGCTGCCAGGTCTGGAGGTAGGGAAACTTATGGGTGGTTTCCAAAGGAAAAAAAAAGGAATATGGGGCAAAGATGGTAGCAAACAGTCCTTTCTCATCATGTGGAGTCTGGGAACCTCCTTCAGAGGATCAAAGTAACTTAATAGCTGCTCTTTCCTTCAGTTTCCTTAAACCCAAACACCACTTCAGCTTCCTCCCAAAACATTTCATAGCTGCCTCTTTAAAACTGATTCCCTGACAGCATGCCTGTGGCTGGGCAGTGCATGAATTTCTTTGTCCCGGATGGTTACCAGCACTCTGTTCTGTCCCTAAACAGCTGGAAGGAGGCTATAACAGGCTCCTGCAGAGACATGTTGCTGGAGGAGGGAATTTCTGCCCAAAGCCATTGAGGATGTTAAATTGTTCTCCAGTGGAGCATCCTGACAAGGGCAGAGCACTGTGATGCATACTGCCTGGAAACTTTCTCCTGAGGCAGTGGCTGCAGCTCTGCAATCAGGTCACCTGCAGCAGGTAGCTGTGTGTCTGAGAGACCTGGCTGGCTTTGTTACCTCTCCAAACCTTCCTGCTTGGCCTGGCAGCAGCTGGGGAGCTGCAGCCCTTGTGCTGAATGTAAAGTGAGACGAGGACAGAAGCACAGATGAGCCATGTGGTTTCGGATAGTGTACGGGGTAAGTCTGCTGCGGGGAAAGTGTGATTTTTACACCTCTCTCCCTACGCCAGTTGGGAGTGGAGCTGTGGGTACTGTGAGTAAAACCAAATGGATTTCACCAAGGTTATGTGGAGGATGTGGTGGAAAATGAAAGGAGTTCACTCTCCAGGCAGGAGATATTTCTTGGGTGCTGCTCCCAACCAGGGGAACTTGTGCAGGCTGGTAATACCTGCTGATGGAATGCAATGCACTGATTTATGGCACAGGTTCCCCCACAGCAGTGCGTCCATCCTTGCTTGCTCCACTTTTCAGATAAGCCTTTTGGTGGGGCTGGGAGTAGCTGAACCCATTGCTGAAGCACAGTGACAATTGGACCACCACAATTCTTTCTGTGGGAGATGATAGTTCTAATGCATAAATTATTCAAGTCTGCACCCAGAAACAATTGGATGCAATAACTGAGGAACATGTTCCTGTAATTTGTTGGACTAACTTTCTTTCCACCACCCCTCCCCACTTCCCCAGCTGCTCCTCCCAGTCGCCTTCTGGAAAGCCTGAATTCCTTAACTGCTGGTCATTTCTGTGTTTTCCTCCTCAGTCTTGAGCTGTGTTATGGAAGCAATCGATAACTAGTTAGAGCAGAGTTTGGCTTTGCATCAGAAAAATCTGCTGGAAAGCATTCCAGTTCAGTAGGTACAGGATTTCATGTGTGACATTTAAATTAGTGGAATCTGTTGGTATCACATCCTACCTTCCTCCCTATGGCTGGGACATGGGATGTGCCACCTCAGCCCCAAGCTGCTTGTCCTGTAGGGTGAACTGGGAAGCTGTGCTGGCCCCAGTGTGTTCCTGGGAACTGTCAGCAATAGACGGTGATGTTGTACACATGTATGTGTGTGTCTGGCCCTGCTACCACATGCTGTTGTTTGGTACAGCCAGTGGTCCATGTCTACTTCTGGATGCTGTGTTGTTTTTAGCAGAAAGAGGGGAACACCACACACCCTTCAGCAAAGAGACCAGGAAGGTGGGAAGAGTCCCCTGCAGTAGCAGGAAATAACAGGGAAATTCCTTCCCTGGCTTTTGAGTGCCCTGTTCTGTAAGGTCTCCTTCTCCTTCTGAGGCTGCGACACCTGAGCAATGTGCCAGGGGCGGGGGGAGCAGGCTGGAGCCTGCTGGTGTCTGCAAACATCCCCCAGCATGTCTGTTCACTAGAGGAGGCTCCTGGCTCCATCCCACCCTGCAGGGAGAGGGGTGCTGGTGTCCAAAAAGCAAAACAACCAGAGCACACTGCCTGTGAGGCGCTGCGCAGCTCATTCCTGCCGTCTCCTTGTCAGCCAGCCACTGGGAAACAAGGAGCCTCAGCAAAAGCCAAGTGAGATGGAGTTTTCCAGCCCTCACGCAATAAAGCATCTGTTTTCTGAGGGGAATGAGATCAGGGATGCATGGTGGCAGGGAGGAGGGTTTGACATAAATAAATAATTGCATAAAGCCCATCAGTTGACGCAAGATGACTCACTCCTCGTGAAGGCAAGAGCGCAGAGGAGGCAGATCTGAGGCAGGGACGCGGCCTCAGCTGAGCCCGCTGGAAATGGCAGGTGCCTTGTGCCTCCGCACTTGGCCCGTTGTCTTCGGAGTCACGGTCTGCCCTACTTTCCTTTCTTCCTGTTTACAGATTGCTTTGTTTGAACATGCGTTTACATTTTAACAAAACCTTCCCCTCCCTTCCCTCCTTGTTGTTTCTTTAAGGCGGCTTTAGCAGAAGGAAGGGGAAGCTGCCCGGCGTCTCCCCGGGCCCCGCGGGCGCTGTCGCGGAGGGCAGCGAGCGCAGCGGCGCTGCTCCCGCCGCTGGCAGCGGCCTCTTCTCCCCGCCGCCTCCCCTGCCGACCCGGGCGGCTTCTCAAGGGAGCAGCTCTCCCCCTCACAAGTCACCCGGGCCGGGATTAATATCTGCCAAACTCAGGATTAAAGCGTCTGGCAGGTAATGAGAGCATGAAAGCTTGACAGCTTAATTTGCTCCAGTCTGTGAGCTCCAAGCAGCTAATGGAGATGCTGCCTTCAGTGTGTGTGCGAGGGGAATCCCCGGACGGGAGAGGCTGGGCGTAATTCAGTGTTCGCAAGGGCTTTGCTGCAGCTGGAGCTCTGGTTGCCCCCCACAGGAGCGAGGGGGACGCTTCTGCACCAGGGCTGGTTCGCCGTCGGGCACAGCGCTGCAGTGATGGAAGTGGCCCTTCAGCCGTGTCACCAGCAGCCAGCCCCCGAGCCAGCTGCCTGCGTGGAGGCCGGGATGGGCAAGCGTGGCACCTTTCTCAGACCTGCACTGCACAATCGGCAGCCTGCCAGCAGCCCTGGTGCCAGCAGCACCTGCCGGCCCTGTGTGTGGCAGGAATTTATGTACTGCCACCCCAAAGGGTTGCTTGAGCCCTGCAGGTGCTGACCTCGAGTGGGTGAGGTGGCACCAGCGCTGCCCAAAACCTGCTGCTTTCCAGCGCATCACCCAGAGACTCCCTGTCTGCAAAAGGCACAGGACATTTCCTGCTTTCCCAGTATAAAGCAATGACTGCCCTGGCTGAGTAGGACCAGTTTTTATTCTTTAACCCACCTGCTGTGACCTCTCATGCCTTGATGCTCCTGAAGCTAAAGCTGCTGTTTTCTCTGAAACATCATCCCTGTTTTCACATCCCCCTGTATACCTGAGGGCAGCTGTTTCAAATGTCTGTAACTCGTGCCATCAGCTCTCATTTACTTCTGGGAGTGGAGAATGAATACTGGCTGACCTCAGCCCTGTTGAGATTCACAGGAGATTTGATCAGCAATTTCCCAGGATGGAAGAGGGACTCCCACAGCACCTGTGGCACTCCCTGCATCCTCTCACCTTCCCACTTTGGCAAGTGACAAAGAACTTGCCCTAGTAGCTCTGCTGTGTTTTCAGAAGGCTGATCTATCCCACAGAGCAACTGAGAGCCTCCAACAAGCAAGGAGAAACCTCCTCCTGTGAGTAAATTTGGAGTCCCTGAGTGCAGCTGGCAGCTCCCAGCCTGGCCTCCATTTTCACCTAGCACAATCCTGCTGTTGTTTCTACCTCCTAAAGCAGCCGTTAAGGCCTTTGTGTACAGCTGCAGCTTTTTGTGCTGAGATTACTCGTTCCATCAGTTGAAAACTGAGTGGTTTCTCCAGTGACCTCTCCTTCCTCATGGCAAACCCATCCCTCACTGCTGTTCACCTGGCTCTGATACAGCCTGACTGCAGCCATTTGTACAGCTCTGCAGTGGGCTCCTCTTTTTGTCTGCTGACACAAGGTAAGGGAGCAGAATGAAGCTACAGAAAAGCAGGCATGGGTGTCTGTGGTGGCAAACAGTAGGCATGTATAAAGCATCACAGTCTGGATCCTGACTTGGCCCAACATAGCCATGAGAAAACTAACATCTCTTCATTAAAACAGAAGCCTGTAACAGTGAAAAACAACCTTTCCCTGCAAAAGAATTCTACAGATTAGGACTATTTACCTGCACCTGTTTCAACAATCCAAACCATCTCCACTTTCATAATGAAAATAGTATCTCACAAACAACCCTTTCTTGCACATAGACATCTTGTCCAAGACTGACCAATTACCATGGGGTAGCAGCTTGTTACTGACCAACAGGAGATAGACATGGGAGGCTTTATAAAACTCTATATAAAGGGATGTAAAAAAAAAAAGCTTTAGCTTTTTTTGCTCCTGGAAAGAGTGTGTCTCATCTCCCTGAAACGAGGTCAACAGCAACAGGTGTCTTGCTCTGTTTTGGGCATCAGTACCACTCCCTCGGCATTGAACAGTGAGATTGGGATCCTGTACTGGCTGTGGTTGAAGAGCAAAGGCTGCGTGGCCTTGTACCACCCTGCAAGTCATAAACTGCACTCTGGCACCTGGAGACACGTGTGACACCAAGTAAGCCACACCAGGCTCAGACAAACACCCTTTCCTGAGGACCTGGCAGTGTTTGACTGGAGCAGGACTGCACTGTGTCACAGCAGGGCTTACCTGAGGGCTGCAGCATCATCTGGCACCAGTAAACACACAGTTTGCACCAGCCAAATACAAGTGGTGACACCTCAAACCAACAAGTCTTTGACCCCAGCAGCAGAAGGTGGAAATGCAAAGAGCTCCTGCAGTCAAGTGTGGCAGGAGGACTACAGGGGTGCAGCATGGCTGCAGCACATCCCTGAGGCACCTCTGTGCTTTCCCTCACTGCCCCTAACTGGATTGGCACCTGCTGCTGGAAGGGCCCCTCATGGGCAGTGGCAGCTGTGAAAGGCCTTCTCCAGCTGCGGCAGATCCCCTCTCCTGTCTGCAGCCAGAATTAGTTGGAGTGTCACTGTCCCATCCTGAGGCAGCCAAGCTCTGCTCGACAGGGCTTCAGCAAAGCCCGAGCACTTGCAGGCAGCTTGTTCTTTAAAAAGCTGTTTATTATCACAGTGGACGAGTGGAAAAACATGACACAGTGTACAGAGAAGTCTTCAGCAAATTGCAAACAAGTCTGAAAAAAGTTACAGTTGTCTCTGAGTAAACAAGGCTCTCCCTGCAAGCTACAGAAGTGTTGCTCCAATGCTCCTTACAAACAGGCTGGTAAGACTAGGAAGAGCTTCAGCCAGAAATGCTGTGCAGATAAACAAGGGATGTCTAGCTGTTCCCAGAGCAGCAACCAGTTTGCCCAGCATGACTCCTGGAACTGTGATGTGCTCTGTGAAGCAGACCTCCTGCTTGGGTGAGCTACGAGTAGGATGCTGTGAAACCCCTTGGTTTTGTCAAACCCAGAGTGACCTGTGCTCAGACCTTCAGCCCAGTCCAAACAAGCATTTGCTGCCCAAAATTACCTCTGGAAGGAGTGGCTGTGACTGGCTCTGTCTCTGGCACTGTAATCTTGTTCAGTGTCCAAACTCTGGAGATGGGCTTGATCCTGCCACCACTTACCCTGAGGCTGCACTTAGCTGCTGCAGACCTGTAAATGCTGCTGTCCCTGAAAACACTCCCTGGATTCCCACTTCATAACAGCCAGGTATGGAACAAAATTTGCAAAGGGCTGGGCAGGGCTGAGCTTGTCACTACAAACAATGCCAAAGGCTGCTCTAGCCCAAAAAAGGGGCATATGTGACTGCACTGGAAAGTTTGGGGGAAGCTATTTTAGTCAATTAGTGAAACAAGGACAGGAACCGTAGGCTTAAACATATTTTCTACCTGGTAAATGAGCAAATAATTCTATGATCAGAGCAAAATAGGAGCACACTTCCTCAAACACAGGCAAATTACACCTCTGGTGAAGGACCTTCCTTGTACCAGTATTTTCTCCCTTCCATCCGAGTTGGCTGGCAAAACACACTTTGACAAGGTGCATGAATCTCTGATTTGTTAAAGTCACTGAGAAGTCTTTAAAAGCTTTGCTTTGGCAGATGTTTTGGCAATTGAAATCCAGCTCATCTGTAACTGTGTGCCCTTTTACTTCAGTAAACAAATGGTTCAGGTGCAGAAATCATTCAAGTTAGCTGAGTTCCCTCTGGCATGGTTGAAAAACCTCATCTGTCTCCCTGTGAAAAATCAGTGTTGATACCACAGGCACAGAGGAAAAGCCATTGAAAAATAACTAAGTTGGTTTTCTTCCCTTTTTTTCCTTTGTAACTGCAGTTTTTGTGAGAAGCCCAGTGGATATTTGAAAATGTGTTAGGGAGCTGAAGGGAGTAGACAAAATTGAGGGCTGGGAAAGGTTTGCTACCACATAGGAAATGGAGCAGCTCTGACCTACAAAGCAAGCATTTTCTTTGCTTCATGGGGCAGGATTTGGAAGGTGGGGAAGTGAGGGTTCATTGGTTTGGCATTTTAACTGGAGATTCTTATTCCAACCTACCAAGATTTTGCGGGTTAGTCAGCAACTGGAGAATTGTTTCTCAAAGTTTGGCGGGGGGATGATGGTAGCATGGGACAAGGATGGAAAATGGTTCACACTTTACCATTTTAGGTTCATAAACTCAAACTCTACCCCCTACACTGTGAGGTAGAGTTTGAGTTTATAAAGCTCCCACAAAGAATAATCAAATACCCCACTCCTTTGCTAACTGATTTCTTTTAAAGCCTCTAAAGCTACACTCCCTAAACAATAATCATTTTGGGGAGGATAATGTTTTCCTGCTGGTCCTTATTATTACTACTGTTCCTTGCCTTGCTCTGTCCACTGATTCAAGCATAGACTAAAAGCTTTCCAAGCCAATCTCAATCCTCCTGTGTCCTTGCCTGTTGCTGGGAGAGGGATTTCTACTTGATGAGTTGATTTTCAATCATCCTTTCTCCCCACCGATGCTGGGCAACGTGATATTGGTGTAGTGCCACCAGCATGGAGCCTAGGCCAGGAGCCAAGGCAATGAACAGCCTACTAATTAATTGTTCACATTTCTCTCCAGACCCCCTCCCCAGAACAAACACTGTGGAAACAGGAGGCAGCTGTTTCTATGCAGCCCTCTGGAAATTTGAAGCAGAAGTGGTTTACTGCCCATGCTATGGTTTTATAGTGATGGCACTAAGGGCTTCTGGTTGCGTGAAAGAGATTGGCTTTGATATGGGAAAAAAAGATTACTGAAAGTCATTTGAGCCTGATGCATCCATTTCTACCCATCCAAAAAACCCCAACAACAAAAAAAAGCAATGTCTACGATGCTGCCTGGAGAAATAGGGACCTAATTTCTAGGCAGGAAGAAGGAATTCATGTTGAAAACACACACACACACCAAGCAACTACTATAGATACTGTTTCTGGTAAAGCTGTGTATATATTAATTTTCAGATCTGAGGCAGGTAATAGTCAGAGCTGGTGGAGTTTTTGGATCTTGTACCCTTTCTTGCACATGTATACTTGTGTGTCTTTATTTACGTATATAAATAAGTTAAGAGATTATTTACATCACTGTACAGAATAGATCTAAACTCAGTTAACAAAATGCATACACCTGCCAGTGGATCTAGCCTGTTAACACTTTGCATTTCATCTTCAAAGCATCAAACAAACATTAATTATTTACCCAGGCAACTTCCCACTCACCAAAAGGATTAAAAATAACAGGCAGAGTAAGGGATGGAGCTGAGGGAGTGCAGTGTGCTCATAAAAAGGCAGCTTATTGTGTATCTCTCTCCTGCCACGAGCACTGTAGATTGATGCCTTTATAAACTCTGCTGTCCAAGTGTAGGAGCAAAATGGGAAAGTCCCCATTCAAAAGCAAATGATCCGCTTTTCATTTTCAAAAGCTTTGGCCTCTTCTTGGCTTATCAGGTTCCCGTTCAAGCTGCAGGAGTAGAACAAAAGGGATGTGAGTGCAAGTAAGGTAGTGACTGGAGCCCACCTCCTACGTGCACCATCTTTGGTGCAGAGGTTTGCAATGCCATGTGGGCTGCACGCTTCTCAACTGGGAATGGGTGTTAGGCTGGATACAGCACTGCTGTTCCCACTGCACATCCAAGAAACAAGGCTTCTCCCTCAGAAACAAAACCTGAAGACACACCTGAACTCCAGTAACTGAACTTGGCATTGGAAACCCAGCTGTTTGCATTTCAGCAAGAAGCACAGAGTTGACAAAAGTTCTTACTGTGGACTGGACTGCTTTAAAGATATTTAAAGTCTCCAGACAACATAGGAAGAAACTTCCGTGAAGTACTCAAGCATGAAATGACCAATAGCAAAATTTTCAATTCTGGCTATGTAAAGATAATCTAAATTGATACTTACAGCCCTGAAAATGAGCAGCTAAGTGCTCTCAGAAATGTTGAAATCCACTAAACCATGCAGATTTATGAAATTACTTGGGTTAATGAATGCCTCTGAACATTCAGGCCAGAATCAAAAGACAGATTTCAGTCTGAAGATTCAGAATGATCTGAAGGGGAATTGATGCCTCTTCTGTAGATGAAAGCTGACAGTGGCTTTTGGAAAAACTACCTCTTCCACATCTCCAGGGAGCACACTAGTCAGACAGTGAGTCATTGTCTTTCTAAGCAAGAATCAGTGTCCTTTCACTAAAACAAATATATATATTTAAAAATAAATTTCATGTTCAATAATAAAGCAGCAGTGCTAAAACCAGCTCAGTTCTATTGACTCCTGAGCTCTCTGAGATGAGGAAAGTAATGTGGTATTTGGCTTCCTGCCTTAAATGTACGTGTGACTATGTGATGCCCACCTAATCTAAAACAAACAAATCCTACAAAAAGTTAATCTCCCTGTAACTTAGTACTTTCAGTATGTTTGGGGCATTGCCCAAAAAAGTTTGAGCACAAATTCTGCAAACCAGACTAGTAATACTGATTAAAGGTAACCAACTCCTGCTTGTTTGGCATTTAGGTCCTGAAAAGCAGAAGTTTAAAAATAAAAACAACATACAAAACTTGGTCTATAAATTCAGGCCCTGATTCTGCAAACACACATGTTCTGCAAATCAGTGGTACAGAGAGATGTGAACCAAGAAAACTGCCTGACATTCATAACACACAGGGAAATGTTTTAGTGGCAGTGGCTTTTTACCTGTTTGAAATCCACAGCTGGAACTACAACCCCCTGCCAAGCATAAACTTGCTCTGAATTTTTTAGGTTGGGAAGTAGTAAGGCCAATAGGGTTTTAAAGGGAAAGGAAGTGACCCTTTGAGAAAGGGACCTTTACCAGATTTCTTTAATAGTTGTGTTCTCCTGGAGAGCATCACTGAGGCACTTCACCCCTTTGGCTGTAATTTTATTCTGGATAAGCCTAAAAAAAAAGCATTTCATGTCATTCTAACATGTAAACTAATTTGCAGTACATACACAACCTATGCTCAGTTTGACATCAAGGAGCAAAGCTCTCTGCCACAAGAAAATGACTGTGATTTTATCTGTGAGAAAGGTACACAGTATTGGTCAAATGCCCCACACGCACTTTCAGAAACAGAGCTCAGAGTATTAATCTCTTCCTTTTAATCTTACATGTAGTTTCATTCTGGAGATACTGAGCAATTTTAATTACACAGCTGACAAAGTTCTGCTATGTTCACTAGTGGTATGGAATTTTGGTATTTAGACTGAGACAAACCTCTCAGCTCTGCTTTCTTACTAAGACTGTGAGACATTTTTAAGTGATGCACAGAAAATTCTGAGTACAGAGCCTGTGTTGGCCTAGAGTTTTAGCACCTATGATCTAGAAGCTGCCAAATCCTCCAGTCTTGTTTATCAGACCAACAAGACCTTTGAAAAATAAAGCACTGATTTTGACTCTGGTATGAGCAGGTGCAAGTCCTAGTGAAGCCAACTTACCAGCTATAAATTATGTCTCATCTGAGCTTAGGGAAGGGAAAAAAAAACCCATACAGAAGATCCTCAAGTAGTCAAACTGATGAAGCAGTAGGTAACTCTTACTAACCACTGTAGACCATTCCACTAGCTAAAGAGGAACAAAGGCCACTCATCTGCATGAGTATAAAAATACTCATCAGCCTAGTTTAATTTAATACTTACCTTTCAGTCTACCATGGTGAGCCCCATAGCTGTACCATTCCATGTGACTGGTTGCATGAATCCCTCAGGATTCAGGATGAGGCTGAAAATTGGAGGGCATTGAACAATCTCTTAGGGAGGGAGGGAAGGAGGCATTCCATTAAAGGAGTTTCTGCACTTGGTATATGAATCAAAATGCAAAGGGATCCAGTAGAATCTTTCAGCTACTGGAAAAAGACTTTAACTCAGTCTCAAGTTCAACTATCTATATAGGTCACCACCTCTTGGAGGTATCCACTGGTGCAATCAACAAAGCAGGATATCAATTTGTCCACTGGCAGACACCCTTGGACAACACTGAGCTATGACAAAGACACTTACCTCGATTACTATGCCTGCTTTGGCTGGGGTAAGTTTTATGATGAATTCAACCCAAACTCTCAGTGAATTATATTTGCAGCTGTGCACAAAGAAACCAAGCACTTCCCCCATTGTCTTTTCATTTTCAGGGTGATGGGCACCACAGCTTCTGCTGCTTTCAAAAGAGGCTATGAGTACTTGGCACCCATGACAGCCAGCATGCTTCCTAAGGGGCTGGAACTAGGATTAATACAGGGAGTGTGCTAGAGTGTGGTCAACCAAGTCTTTGTAAAGCATACAAAGGGACTCCATGTCTGATGGTCCCTTGGATCACTTGGAATGAATGGATGGCTATTTTTTTTACAGCTCGCATCTGCCCAACTCCATCCATTGGTAACCTTTGGATTAGAAAAGCCAATGCTGCATTTTCTTATAAGTGTAAAAAGTCTTACTGTGATTTCTAGAAATAATTCCTGGTTTCCTGGGTATTGATGCCTTGGAGATGAGTGTCTTGCATCAGTTTATTGCTAGCCCAAAAAGAAAGCATTGGTCAAATGCAACACGTATATAAGTGTGTCATGTAGGTTCTTGGTTGAAGAGTTACTTTCATAGAATGATGATAAACAAAAAGACTTGTAATAACCTTATTCTATTCTAGCTGTCTGCTTGGGGTTTTGGTTTTCTTTTTTTTTTTTGAAACTTTTGATTTTGAGGCTAGTACTGTTCCCCTAATGAGAGATGAAATCAATCATTAGTTTGAAAGTTACCAGAAACAGCTTGAACTTTTTCCCTGTATGGAAGCAGGTTCCAAATGCTAGACAGCAGCTTTATTAACTTCCCATTAGAACTGTCTACAAGCAGTCAGCTGCATCCAGACCATGCACAGAAGCTGTTACTGTGACCTACATAGACTTGGAAGGTGCAGCTTTAATGTAGTGACTGCCAAAGAGCCTGTGCCACTGTGGAATGTAACTCACCATAAATGCACCAGTTTCTTGTTGACCTTCAGCATCTCTGCAAAACTCATTGCTGCCTCATCATCCAGCTCGTTTTTAGTCAACCTAAGTGGGAGAG